ACGAGACAGAAACGAGGGAATTTTGATTTGGCGCGTACCAACAATCTAGAACCATCATAGGTAGCACAGTACTGACAGACCAAGACCAATGGAAAGCTCTAATGCAGACACCGACTTCCAGTCTCCCGGCTTTATTTCTGCTCTTTTCTCAATTACAATGAAATCTCCAATGTTGTTTCCCTTTGAACTAACAGCTGAGCCACTTTTTCAATTTGTACTGCCTCTCTCAGCAACGCAGAATCAGACAGCCAGGCTGATTTATGTAACTAAAGGCATATTTAGCGTAATGATTAAATGGCCCTAACATTGCTTTTGTCTTTACGTAACAGTAAATCAATGTGATGTTGTTGACGTTTCACTCTAATGCACTTGTTCTTGTAATTGGTTCCAATGTGCTGTCATGGGAATGTGCCCAACCATCTGGCCATAGTTACAATGATCTCTATCACATATGTTACAAATATATATATATACAGATTACAATTGGATATGGTGCTTAGATCAGATTAGGAAACATGAAGACAACAACTACAAGCACTTTCTTTTCCCCTGTAACTTTTTTTTTGTTTGTTTCATGCTGTGGCAGAACATTGCTCAACAAGCCTGATTAGAGTCTCTGTTTTTATGCAACCTTTTCTAAAGAATGTAATGAGCTCACACATCAGACAGCTGTTCTCAATCAATATTTGTTGACGCGAAATCCCATTAGTTTTCTAATTGCATTTGCATAAACTTTTCTCCGTTTCATATTTACTACGCTAAATTGGTTTTTATACAGAGTTTACCTACAGTGGCCCTCGAGTGTTTGCACATGTTTGCTGTGATTACTGTTTGGCAGATGAAACAACACGGACACGCACACGTGTACACACACAGACAACCGTACGTATGCAAACAAAACATCAGCAGCATCCCACCTTAAACATCTCGCATTCCGCATCGATGACTAGCCCACGGTAAACAAACATTTATCTGCTCCTCTGGCAGAGCAAAAGTGCAGCGGTGCCGCTTGTTTGGTGGATGGCCTCGCCTGATATAAACAGGCTATTGAACTGTGTTTAACAAGAAGTATGATTTGGACATGCTAAGAGGATTTTTCTCCTTCCAGACACATAGGTGCTCACAGTTTAGAGTATTAGGATTTCTGTGGTTTGGCTAGCTTTCATAGGGAGAGCCGGAAAATAAATTAACTGTTGAAATAGCAGCAAAGAACATCTAATAGAGGACACCAGTATGGCTGTGTACATTGTGGGAACCTGTAATCGCCTTCTTTGTACCGCTATGCTTACACATATATCTTAAAGATGAGGGCGATGTAGTGTAATGAGTTTGAATCAAATACATTAAACTCATCAACCGATCAGTTGTAGCTAGCTATCAGTGGTAGGTAGAGAGATCATTGGTGTTTACCTCAACCGGCTGTTTAGCCTTACAATTTATGCATGAAGTCTGCCTTATATCGTCTCTGGAGAGATTCAACAAGGTGCTAAGGACGTTGCTGTCAGCATTACACAAATGCTGCATATCCGTGATGTCAATCTCCTGATCCACCAGATACCAAAGGTAGATCTGACAGCGGATGTCACTAGAGAACAGCGAACCTATTGTTATTTTTAAGAAAACAGTTTGTGATGATGAGAGCTTTGTGACAGGGCATTTACTTGCTAAACTCAGTCGTCAGAAGGAGGCTATGCTGTGGATAGCTGCAACGTTTATCCAATCTGAAAGACATTAACCGCCTTCTAATGCATCCAGCTAGAATCAGATGTTGCTAGGGAAATGGTCATGATCCAAAATGTTAGAATATTTTAAAATATAATATTATTGGGAACTGTAAACAGTCCATCCTGTTATTCAAGGGGCAAAGCAGTGTTGTTTCCTGCATTCCTTTCATTCTCATTAGCTCCACTGGGGAGTGAGTCATGCCTCTTTTTCTGCAATAAGCCATCATCTTCTACACATCATTAGACCAGTTCACATCCGAACGCATGAGACATTCTTTATAACAGCGCAAAAAGAAATACTGGTTACCAGTATCAAGGTAGAGGTGCCAAGGTTTTAAAAAGTTAAGTTTCAAAACTGCCAAAATGTTACGTCACGCTGTTCCCACACTTTAAAGCGACGGAAGGTTTCTCTGACTATATGAACTACCCCTCCCCGACCTGTTGCTGCATGCTGCTGGTCAGTTGGCTGAAAGGTAATATCAGCTTGTTATAACTGAGTTGAGAGGAGAAGATAAAGTCTAAATATATGTGAAATAGGAGCTTAAAAACGTTTGCTAATCTTCAAGACTGTTTCTTCTGCATTTTGGTTTACGTCTATTCACATATTTGCATTTTTAGAAAATACAGTGGAAACATGGTAGCTGTGCTCAAGTTTGTCATAACTTGATAACCTCATTCTGGCCCAAATTTCTTCTCAAGAAATTTAGCTATCTTTTAACAATTGGTAGCTGCTATCAAACAACCTTAAATTCTAACATACAAATGCTAAGTGGACTGAATTTTTCATTGTCGTTTTCTGGTCCACTCGAGGTACTTCGATTACATCCAATTACATTCATAAATGCGCACACATTTACACACTGACACAGATCGATAGGCAACATTTAGCTGAGTACCTTGTCCAGGGGAACACCACCATGTGGCAGGAAGATGCATAGCAACACAGTAGCCTAAATTGTAATAGGCTAACTTGTACAAAATGCTCCCAGCTTCTTTGGCTAATGGCCACTGGCATTACAAGTATAGCATTGATCTAGCTAGTTTCCATCAACAGAGTGGAAGTTTTTTATATATTATCTTAAAAGCACACTATAGTAGGAGAACAAACTTGATAAAAATGTGGACTTTGGATGTAAAATTAATGGTAAGACATTCATGATGTCTGGTTACAAATCAGAAACAAATGTTCGGCTGGTGTTAGCTTAAATGGTATTTCAAAAGCCTTCCTTTGGAGTTCTATTTGAGGTTTGAGCTAAATTTCAAAATCTTCAAAATGTATTTAAATGATGACACAGAGGCTCAGGCCGCCTTCCCCTAAAGGACGTTCTAGTGTATGTGTGGAGAAAAGACCCAGGTGCAACGTCTACAAACTGAAATACTCTACCAAGGTGTGACAGCTCCAGGTCCCACATTACCTTCAACTTGTTTTTCTTCTGAACTCTTGCAGTGACATGTAAATGAAGGAAAAATACACTTTCTAAACAGGCTACACCTGTAAAATGGACAAAATATATTTTGCATTTTTCCCATCATTAAAGCCTTAACTCAGAGCTAGCCTTTAGCTGCTTAAAGAGGACTGTTGTTCTTTCAGAGCCAAGCAAGGAAGCCAAATTTGCGTTATGCTGAAAGGTAAATTAGGCAAATTCTCAATATGGGAAACAGTTTGAATCGCAACCAATAGAAGGCTTGGTACAGTGGAGTACTGCAGCCATACCAAGGAAAAAATAAAGTAAAATTACGAGAATAAAGTCATAAAACTATGAGAACAAAGTCATTATACGAAAATAAACTCATACAAATAATACAAGTCGAAGTATTGCAGGAATAAGCCAAAAAATATGAGAATAAAGTCATAATATTACCAGAATGAATGTTATTCAATACGACTTTATTCTTGTCATTTTATGACTTAATTTTCTCATCATATTTTTGTATTTTCTTAGCGTGGCTCCGACTCTACGTCAGTTTTTGCACATTTTTATGCAAAAGCAGGAACAAAGCATAAATACAAAACTGATACGCTTTAAAAAAAACTATACCTTCAAATCCCCACCGACTTACTAATTCTTCCATCTGACCAATATTTTTGATCAGTGCTCGTTATCTGTGCTCCGTCGGTTCTGACCTCTGCTGATGTGCCGTCTTTGGGTCATGTGGCTGAGATATGTGGTGCTTTAATGTTGCTTTGTTTACCCACCAGAGGTCCGACTCTGGTTTCACTTGTGTACGCCGCTCACTTTTTATGTGCAGTGTTTCACTGTGCATCGTCTCACACACACCGTTAGCTAGTTTGCAGAGAGAACAACACATGCTAGATGTCACGCTCCGCTAAGGTCCAGCAACCGTTTTCCATTACTCGGGTCCCAACTTGACAACCGTTCGCAGACAGACGGGGAGAGAATGTCCTGGACGGACCGCTTAAAGTCTGGAACCTGGATTTAATCAATTGTTACTTCTAAGTAGCCTGACAAACCTTAAATGAAGAAACATGGTTTCAAGTATGATCTCTTATTGCTAGACATAAACGTGCATGATTCATCTGCTCTTAATACCACGCAGTCTCTCTTTTGTCTCATGAGTCATCCGAGTCTTGACGAGGCTTCGGAAGCTGCTCTAGCTTTCTGTGCGCTCACCGCTCGGATTATTGGCTGTTTTGGCAACATATAAGCTCACAGGTAATTGGCTGAAGAGATGTTTCCTCTTCAGTGGGACTAGGTTCCTTTGTGGACACCTCCACGGTTGGCCGCTCGCGTTGCTATGGAGGCCTGGTAATTGAGTTGCAACTTTATGACACCTCTCGTGAACCGTTACGAGGAAATTGCTGTACATTTCCTCCAAACGACAGCGGAGAAAAAAACCAAAGGTCGGGGGGATTGCTTTACCAATTTTTTAATTGCGACGAGATGAGCCGTTTAACGTCAGTCCAGAACCGCCAAGAGATGCTGTTCAGTTTCATAACAAACATGTAACACAGCAGCTCACTTGAAAATGTCACAACAAAGACACAGAAAATACAACATTACAGTGTTTTATGTTGCCTGTTGTTTAACGAGAGAGCTTTAAATAGACCGTCCAGGTCTGGTCAGTCAGTAACTTACGGACAGAAGATAACTCTTTCAGAAGGGGTGAAACGATACAGTACAAGATAACAATATAAATCATAAGATTTAAATAATGTGCTGCTGACAAAGGTATTAGCCCCTTTAAAGGTTTGTTCTGCTTATCCTTTTTAAATTTAAATATCCGGGATAACTTGAGTAAATACAAAAAGGACAGTTTTCAAATAATACCTTCATTTATTAAAGGAAACATCCCAAAAAACCGGGCCCAAAGTTAAAGTTAAGTGTTTACAATGTTACACGATGCCTAAACTGTGATTAACTACAAAGACCTGATTATTGCCAGACATGCTGTATTACAAAATCACTTCAACAGAATCTGCATGAAAATATGAGGCTACAAGCTCTCAAACAGCAAAACAATCTGACACAACATACATAAATTTAAAGAAAAAAAAAGACATTGACATCAATTGATCTGGAGGGAAAATGTTACAAAGTCCTTTCAAAAACCTTTCGACTCCAGCAGCCTGCAGTTGCTGCCATTACGTCCTCAATGATCCCAAAGACCTTTGGGGAAAATATGTTAAGGTGAAGAGTGAAAAATAAATGTGCTTGATAAAAAAATGTTTGTGTCTTGGTACATTTGGTAAAACACTAACAGCATTTTAGGATAATAATATACTAAAATATTATTGGGACGTGAATTGGGTCGGTGATTGGCAGCAGCATCGACTTGCAGTGTCAGATTAAAACAAACAAAACAAATAACTGAGATCCTCAGGATGAATAATTTTTACACCGAAACAGCTGTACTGAGGTTTACTCTGTCTCTGGCAGAACCACACTGGAGTGATGTTCAGCCTAAAAGAACACCACCAAACTGTAAACTGTGAATATCCACTTACGCAGCACCTGTATCCTTCAAATATTAACATTTTCAGTCTGAAATCTACATTTTGGATGTAATTAGATTACTTTTGTCTGATATAGCATCTCTATGTGCTGACTAAGATGAAAGGCAGGGCCACATTTCACCTTATTTCCCTGTTTAACAACGGATTTTTATACTTTCTGTTCTCCTACTGGGCTGCTTTCTGGCTCTAATGGTTTCCACTGTTGGGCTCTTTTTAAAGTGGAGCTGCATGTAATGTCACTGCAATGATTTTCTGGAGGAACTTCAGCCTGACCTTACATCCCAGAGTTCATAATCAAGCTTGTCAGGTGAATTGAGGACTCTGATATACCCTTGGCATTTACTCTGTGTGTGTGCGTGCGTGTGTGTATGTATGCTCATAGCTGGCCCTGCGATGGAGCAGATACCATTCCAGAACGTTGCTTTTTGCCTATTCAGTGCTGGAATATCCAAAAAAGTAAATATTTGCTGACAAATTCCAGAAAAGTGAATTGGCTCCGTCTTCAGAACTCGCTCTGATCCGAGGGAATCAAAAGGAAACGCGGAAGGTGCACCGCAGCAAAACGAGCTCTGATGTAATCCTCCGCTTTTGGTATCTGTCGATATGATTAAAGTCCGATGTGATGTGAAAGTGACATCTACTCAGCTCACATAAGTACCATACCAAAAATCCCCTGAGTCAAAGTACCAGAAAAAGATTGCTCTGTTGAAATGGGAGAGCTGTGATATTTGGGTACATGATGTGCTTGTATTAACAATCCAAGTACAAAGAGGTTGTGTTTCTTTTCGTTTCAGTCCTCTCGCTCTGACTCTTGCCTCGAGCGTACGTACTGTAGATCAAAATAACAGGCCCGAAAAGGACCAAAGTAAACCTGTCAAGAACGGGCATCGGTCTGAACGAATGGTCAGGGCTGTAAATTCTTCCACTGGAGTTACGGCCTCGTTGCCGCGTTCCGTCGGATTTTTCACGGCATACGTCACTCAAACAGGAAAAAAATGATTTATCCGACTCCTAAAAGCACTTAATGTAGTCTTCAAAAGCTCGATAAATGCGTGTTTGCGCTCCTTCCGGTGAGTAATGACAATGAAAGGAGGAGAGCCGTGTTGTACCGCTCGCCTTGCGACCGACGGCAGACTCTCCGAGTTTAAACAGATAATAAAAAAAAGTAGAAGTTATGGCTGCCCTTGTTGTTGTTGGCTGCTTCCCGCACGAGAAAACTTGATGTTGTCATTAGAGTAGCTGAGAGAAATGCCATGACTTCATGTCAGCATCATTTCCTTGGAAAGGTTTTGTAGTTTTCTTATCACATGGGAAAGAATTATGTTTACTGGATCTCACTGACCACAAAGGCTTAAATTCTTGCTTCAGCAGTTTAATGAGGTATGATAGCTCACACTCCCGAGACGTGGAAGTTTCATAGCTTTTAAAATAGGTCTGTTGTAAAGCAAAAGATTGAGTTGAGTCAACTGTTTTGTAACGTCTTAACAATTTAAAAGAATATCTTAAACGGCTCTTGACACACCGCATTTGCCTTTGGGACAGTGAAGTTACTGGTCGCAATAACCAATTAATTAATTGCAAATGAGCTTGATAATTTCCATTTTGATCACTAATATATATACATTTTGTTGTTTAAAAAAAACAATCCCTTTTATTTGTGCTTTATTTTGGATATTTAAAATATTGTCCAGTTCCAGTGTGGCGTTTTCTTTACAAACTTTCTTTAAAGTTTATTAGTTTTTGAGAACAGAAACTGGCATTATTTTTGCCATTATCAATATGTCACTTGAAAAACAGGCTCAAGACGACATTATAATTTATCGCAATAATTTCTGGGACAATTTGTGGAAGTTTTACTTTGCACATTTTAACGTGTGGTGCAGAACAGCAGTTTGTTCAAGTGAAAGGACGACGTGTCAGGGGCAACTTCATGCTCCCAGCTTTCTGGAAACAGTTTGGTTAATATCCCCTTTCCAGTCCTAAAATGTCTGTGTGAATCTGAAGTACCTTTGACACGAATCAGAGCTGAAACTGTGAGCCTGGCCTCCTTGTCCAACATCAGTATCTGACCTCATGAATGGGATTCTGAAAAAAAAAAAAGAGTAAAGGTAAAGGTAATTTTATTTATATAGCACATTTTCAGCAACAAGGCAATACAAAGTGCTTTACAGGATTTAAAAGGAAATACAAACAAAATAAACCAAAAGAAAGAGAAAAAGAAGAAAAAGTTAATGTTGATCCAAAGTAAATAAACTTCAGGGTTGGTAGACAAGTATAAAAGAAATTCTGAATTTCTGTAACCTATGTTTGTTTTCTATTAACTACATTGTTTTTGGCCTCCTTTTGTAAATAAACATATATATAAAAAATAAAATAAAAAAAGTAGTAGAGCCTGATGATTTCTAATAAAGGGTATTGTGTCTCAAGAAATCCAGTAAAGGTATCCAAACATTTTATGCTCTTTCCTGTGACAATACAGGTGATTTCTCCAAACAAAGCCAAGGGTGACATTTCCTTCACGCGCCTTTGCCGATACTTGATCCGTTTTTCTTCACATTAATGATTCCTTTTGCATGCAAGAGTTAATTAATATTTAGGGGCCAAGATTTTTCTGAGTAGATAACCAGCAGACAGAGTTTGCATCACGTCAACGTGCGCACCACCATCTTCCAGTAATTCTGGAGTTCAGGGCAGCCCCGGACACAGTAAAAACAAGTCTTTACATCCAAAACATTTCAGACAAGCATCTGGAATGCCGGGGTGGACCGCTGTTTATGCGGCTCGCATGTTAGAAAACATCTGTGTAATATTAATTAATAATTTTTGTAGCTGTACCTGTGTTTTTGCAGGCAGAAGAGCAAATATTTTAGCAATGTAGCGTACATTTCCAAGAGTCGGTCGCACTGCCAGATTCCGGTTGCTTCAAGGAATGGGCATTAACTAATTTTAGAAACAAAACGGTCCAAAACAAGAAAAGCTACGAAACAACCTAAAGCTGAGTAACTACGGAATGCTGTGCATGTCAAGTTTTTGTTTTTCGTTTTTTTTTTTTTTTACCAAAAATACAACACTTTAGATCTGACACATTCAAATTTAACAATTAGATTTGTTAATTTCAGGCATTCTTACCAACTGTAAAGGAAATTTTAAATATGCTATTTGTTTAGGAAACCAAATTAACCCTCGTGTTATGTTCGTTTGTGATGTACAGCTATAATGTTCCCGGGTCAATTTGACCCGGGAACACCCATCGTGTCAGAAAAAAAAATAATTCTCCAAATCTTTTTTGTGTCTGATTATTAACTCCTATACTAACCATTTCAATCAATATTTGTGCAATTATGTTTT